AAGGGAACTTGGCGAGTCAGGAGGATGACTCGACGACTGGAGTCAACTCGGAGTGTTGACTTTGACTTTGACCAAGCATTTACTTTGACAAAGTTTGACCCGTGAAGGGGTCTTGAGAAAGGAATGATATCTAAGGGGTTGTTTCTATATAGGGCGTGAGTAGATTCGGTGGCAGGAGCAGAGACGTACAACTATTTTACCTGACATTTGAGGTATGTTTTCTCCTATAGGAACGGGTCGAAGGCACCAATGCCAGCCCGTTTATGTATGTTAGTATGTTCCAGACTAAGGTCTGATGTCGGGTAGGGCCCGATGTAGGTTTATATGTTTATTGGGTTTTGATCTAATGTGAGGGTGGTACCCGATGAATGTTTGTATGCTTGATGTCTTTGTGATTCTTGCATGTCTTTGTATTTGTATGTTTCCGGACTACAGTATGATGTTAGGCGGGGCCCGAGGAAAATTTATATGCCTATGATTAGGTGATTATGCTTATGTTTATGTGTATTAGTAGATATGCGCATACGTATGTCGAGCTTTGCTAGTTGTCGGGCGGGGCCCGATGTTGAGCAATGTCGATGCCGGTTAGGGCCCAATGTAGCAGGGTGGGGCCCATAGCATGTTGTTATGTGATTATGTGATATGTTGTGACAACCCGATGTTTCGGGACAATATGATGGAACACAAGTCAAATTTAGGTCAAAATTTAACATTCGTAAAATCTTGTTTGGGTTAAATAAAGTAGTAGGAATCGTATCAAGGTTTTCGTACATATAAAGAACCCTAAAATCCGAGTTATAACGAAGAAGTTATGACCAACCGAAGATTCTCGGCAAAACCGACAACACTGATAGATGTAAAACGCGAAGTTTCAATACAATAATTTTTAGCCTTATGTATCTAAATGAAAGTTTTAGATATCATTAAACCGTAAACGTACATAAAAAGAACGTCTAAATCTGACTTCGTATGAGGAAGTTATGATTTTTCTAAGTTACGGATATAGCAGTAGACAGCTAAAAACTCGAAATAGAGATCGAGAGACTTTTAGCCGACACAAACTAAATGAGAATCGAAGGTCTCAACAATAGTAGCGCAACGGTAAAAATTCTGATGAAAACGGACGTCAGATGAAGAAGTTATGGAACTTTAACGGACTTTTCCTGTCCCGACCTATTAAAAATATAAAATTAAAAATAAAGTCAAAAATTTCCGAAGAAGTCTAAACGAAAGTTGTAGATCGTAGTCTCACCTATGCGCGGATATAAAGAACGACAAAAACGGAGTTCGTATGAGGAAGATATGAATTTTTGAAGTTTACTAAACAATTAATATATAAATTTAATTCAAAATCCGGTATTATCCGAAGGAGGAGTCATCAGACCAATCCAAGTTACGCCCAGCATACTCGGATGCTCGGCCTTAATCCATCTGCGTCGCTTCGATGCTTCGTCCAAGGATGCGGTAAGCCATGACGTTGCGTACGCCTAGCGTACCCTCGTTAGTACGCCCCGCGTACGTGAGGCTTTCAGCCCCTATAAAAGGGATGTGAGGGTGCCGGCCATTTTTGCTCATTTCCTCCCTTTCTCGCGCTGAAGCTCTGCGTTTCAACCCTTGGAACCATCCCGAAGTTCCGGTTTTCATATCCAAGTTGGGAAGGAAGTTTTACGCTCCCGAGATCCCTGAGAAATCCGCTTTCTTGAGTAGAAGTTCTGCTCGGTTTTCGTCTAGCTTTCTTCAATCAATCAAGTGAGTACATACCCCTTAATTAACCTTTTAAATGTTTATAAATTCTTTATGGGGGAGGGGGAATACAAGTTGAATCATGTTTAGTTATTATATCAATCACCTACGATTAATAACTAGCATGCAAATGGATTTACTATACGTTAGCTGTTTTACCAAACATATTTCTTCAAATGAGTTTCTTTAATGTTTTTACATGTTTAAAACTCTTTATCAAACTATCTTACACACTGTAAGCTTCCTTTCAAACTCTGTTACAAAGGTGTTTTCAAACAATGGTTTTCCTTATACTTAAACTGTCTTATCAAACAAAATATTTTCAATCGTTTTATAAACTGACATCAGGTCATCGTTTCTTACTATTAAACTTTTCAAAGGTTTTAGAAAACTTCTTTTACGCTTTTATATTGTCAAATGCATGCCCATATATGTATAGTTATATAAGTAATGTTTAAAGGACTTAGGACGGTTAGCTCGCTTTATTTCCTTTTCCTTGTTGGGATGTGGCCTTAGGGTATCGGTTGCTCGTCCGAATGTTGTCTAAATATTATTTATATATCATGTATACATATATAGGTATAAAGGTTCCATTAGTCACTTTAGTACCTTTGAGTAGCAAAGGTATACTTCCGGTTATACTCGTACATTACTAGTTACTATAGTACGTATAGTTAGGAGATACTACTTACAATTCCAAGTACAAGGAATCACACAAGAGTCAGTTCATTCATGAGCCTATACTAATACATTACATGTTACATGACTACGTTTACATGTATACGCTTACATGAGTACATTTACATAGATACGCTTACATGAATACGTTTATATAGATACGCTTATAGAGATACGTTTACATTGATACGTTTATAGTGATACGCTTACATGAATACGTCTACATTAATACGTTCAATAGATACTGTTACATAGGATCTGTTACAAAGATTTCGGGATTTACCATTCCATACCCCAAAGTTGTTAGCTACAGTAGGTAAAAGGTGTTGGATTAATGTCTAAGTCCATAACTATAATTGGTAAGACTTGACCCGACCCGGCATGGTCCATTTGGGTTGCATACCATCATGCACTTGGATAGACTAAATGAGAGAAATAAAACACTTATGGTTATTAATATATTATAAGTTCTAGTATATTAATAATAAGAATAATGAGATTATTTAATTAGTATTGAAATTAATCTAGCATTAATTGAGTGATCAAAAGAAGACTAATTAAATATGTGGGTTGATTGTGTAAATCATCCATACTTGTATAGTGGGCTAATGCTCCATGGATTATCTAGTTGGGCCAAAACCCATATGATGCTCCATGGATGCTCCATGGTGTATTTGAACCCATGGATCCAAGGAAATGGAAAGTCATGGCAATTAGGGTTTACCCTAATTGTATAACTATATAAGCATCTTATTCTTGAGGAAAATCGGCCACTAGTGAGAGTAAGAAAAGGCTAGCCGATTTCATGAAGTGTAGAATTCTCACTAAGTTATTCTAAGTGTTTTGATGATTGTGAACCATTTGAGGTGTCACACTTGGGGCACTAGGCACTCAAGCTTCATGAAGACAAGCACCATCAAAGAGGTATGTATTCTATCTTGTTATATTGATAGTTTTGTATGCTAAATTAGGATAATACCTTGGATGTTCATATTTGCATGTATAATAGAGAAAACATAGATCCAAGGTATTTAGGGTTGCATGTACACCTAGGAGTGTTAGAATGCTCATAACCCTACAGTGGTATCAGAGCCTAGACTTGTTTTCTTGTTATACCTACAATAGAAGTTGAAAAATCGAAATTGGTGCTGTCAGCCCAGCAGACTCGACGAGT